ATTATTATTATTATCATTATTATTATTACTATCATTATATTATCATTATTATTATATCATTATTATTATCATTACTTTTATAATCGTTTTTTATTACTTTTATCATTATAACTATTATTGTTATTTCTATTATTATCATTATTAATTTTACTATAATTGTTATTATCATCATTATTATTATTAGTCACATTATTATTATTATTATTATTATTATATTATTATTATTATCATTATTATTATTATTATTATTATCATTATTATTATTATTATTATTTATTATTATTATTATTATTAATATTATTATTATTATTATTATTAATATTATTATATTATTATTATTATTATTATTATTATTATTATTATTATCATTATCATTATTATTATTATTAGTAGTAGTAGTATTAGTGGTAGTAGTATCAATATTATCATTACTATTATTATCATTATTATTATCATTATCATTATCATCACTATTATCATTATTATTGTCATTATCATTATTATCATTATTATCATTATTATTATCATTTCTACTACTATGAATAATATCATCATTAATTATCATTATCATCATTATTATTATTGTGTTGATAAATCTATTTGTTGTTGATTATGTTGATGGCAATGATGGTGACGGTGAAAAATAACGATGATGATAATGATAAAAAATAAACAATGATAATTATGATAATTAAAATCATAATGATAATGATATTGGCGAGAATTATCATGGCGGTAGCGACTAATACAATACAATAAAATAAAATAAAATAAAAGATAAATCAGTAAAATAAGATGATAAATGTATTATTTTACAATAATCGTTTCTAACTCTAATGGGCTAGATAATGATGATCGGAATCATGAGGACAATAATGATAATACTGATCCTAACACTGCTGTTTATTCCGATCTTAATCATATCAATAATAAAATGGATTATGGATCATAATTATAATCTTATAAAAAAAAAAGAAACAATAAGCGTAATTCTTGTTATCCCAATCACAATCATTACAAATCCTATCATTATTAGCATTATGATTTTGAAATGATAAAGGCGATGATAACAATGATGATAATGATGATGATGATGATAATGAAAATGATTATGATTATTATCACTATCATCATAATTGCAATTATAACTGGTCATAGTTATGATCATAATTGTAATGATAATAATTCTAATCATAATCATAATAGTGAATTATTGTAACTGTAATTGTAAATACACTTTTAACTGTAATCATAATTATCATTATAATCATAATGATAACTACACTCATAAGTATGGTTGTAGTTACATTGATAACAATAAAAAATATAAAGATGAGGATTATTTTAGTAACAGTAATAGCAATAATAATTCTGATGATAATAATAAAATATAATAAAATAATAATGAATAAAGATAATAACACTTAATAATAATAATAATAATATGAATAATAATAAATAATAATAATATATAATAATAATAATAATATAATATGATAATATATGATAATAATAATAATAATAATGAATAATAAAATAATATTGATAATATAATAATGATAATAATAATAATAATAATAATATATATAATAATAAATAATAATAATACTAATAAGAATAATAAATAATCAATAATAATCATAATAATATGAATGATGATGATAATAATAATAATAATAATAATAATAATAATAATAATAATAATAATAATAATAATAATAATAATAATAATAATAATAATAATAACAATAATAATAATATATAATAATATGATAATATGAATAATAAATAATAATAATAACCAATAATAATAATACAATAATAATAATAATAATAATAATAATAATAATAATAATAATAATAATGATAATAATAATAATAATGATAATAATGATAATAATAATAATAATGATAATAGTAACCAATAGTAATGATGATAACAACAATGGCATCAATACAATGATAATAAAAATAATGATGATACAAATAACAACATTAACATGATATTAACAATGACGATAGTAACGGTAATGATCTGAGTGACAATGATAATGAGCATTAAGATTCTAGTAATAAAAAACGATAATGATAACATCTAGTAACAAAAGACTGATAATGATGATATAGATAATGATAATGATAATAACAATAATAATAATTCTAATAATAGTGGTTATAATGATTACAATAATGGTAATAGAAATGATTATGGTAATAATGGTGACGATCGTGGTGATGAATGTGATTATACCAACTATAATGATATGGTAATAAATCTGGCTAAGATAGTGATGGTCCCTTCTACTGATGATGATGAAAAATAATTGAAATACTGATTATGATATCATAGTTTTGACATTATGAATAATGAAATGTCGGTATCTATTTGCAACTGAAATAATCACTTATCTTTTTATTGCTGCGGTCCTGGGAATTTTGAAAAAATCTATTAAATCACGTTTTACTGATTAACTTACCTTTCCCATAATATCTCGCATCTGTTATAATTAGATTGAATATCCAAAGAAAGGAGAAAAAATAGAATCAGAATTCTCAGAGCTCAAAAATGATTCCTTCCAACCCAGCGGACCTCGCCTGCGGTCCGGCGTGGACCTGCCGAGCGAGCCACGGTCTCTTCGCTCTGGATTTGTGGTTTCTGCCATATGAGTGATTTCATTTGCTATGCTTAGTGTAATATGTTAGCATATCTACTGCTGTTGTTGTTGTTGTTGGGATCGGGATTATCATCTCATTTTCTTGTCATATTTAATATCATTATCCTAGTTGTTGTCATTTGTATTCGTATCATCAACTGAGTATCATTGTTATCATCATTAATGTCATTACCATAACAATGGCAATGTATATCATTATCTTTACTTACTGAATTAGCATTGTCACTGCTATTACCTTTCCTTCGCATCGCCATTTTATTTAATCTAATTTTGTTATATCCATAGAGCAGTTGGCTTGCATGTGATTTGCGTGATAGGTATTTCAGTCTTTAAAAGTTTGCAAAATAACCCTTTTTTTATTTTAAAATAGCTTGAACAAAAACAAGGAAATCGGAGATTTTGAACAAGAACAAAGAAACCAAAGCCCAAATTAATGCAAACATTTCTCCTGTGACATAATGTTTGTTTCCTGTTCGCGGAGACTGATTTAATTCGACACAAACTCGTCTCGGGCGCGAGGGCATGCAGTCAGCAGGGCCGCCTCGTCCTCGCTGACCCGGGCCGTCGCTCCTGACGGCAGCGAAGTCTTGGGCGCCTCTTGCCCTCGCGCCTCCCCGCCCACTCGGCCGACGAGCTCTCCTTCGGATGCTCATTTGGGGCGGAGGCTGTGTTGCGCTTTTCAGCAATGCCAAGATTTTGTTTTCTTATCTATCATTATATTCCCTTATTTCTATGACGGTATTCGTATAGCATTAATATTGCTTTTTATACATTTTTTCGAAATCAGTGTTCAATGAATACATTTTTGTGGATTCAATTACTATTTTAGTTTTTACTAATCAAGACGAAATTTTAATATTTTCATTATTAACATTTCCTTCTTAATTCTATTTCTCTACGATATTCGCCATCATTTCTTTTCTCCATTTAATCTGCTTTAAGTTTCATAATTGCTACATAGAGGTTCTTCGGAATTCATTCTGGCACGTGGGGGTCACAGAAACATCGGGGTACAAACAAAGTCTTTATTTCCTGCTGGCAAGAATCTAACAAGACAGGAATTAAACATGTGAGATGAAAATAAAGCAAGAGACCAAGAAACTACATTCTGATTTTAAAATGGATGAAAATAAATAGATAAATTTAGATAAAACAGAAAGATGAATAAAATGAATAAAAATTAATCATATATATATATATATATAATATATATATATATATATATATATATATACATTATATATATATATATACATACACACACACATGCATGTATATATTATATATATATATATATATATATATATATATATATTATATATATATAATATATATATATTATATATATGTATATATATAATATATGTATATATATAATATATGTATATATATATAAATATATATATAAAATTATTATATATATATATATATATATATATATATATATATATATATTATATATATATATATATACATATATATACACATACACATAAACATGTGTGTGCATGTGAGTGTGTAAATATATGTATATATAATATATGTATGTATGTATGTATGTATATATATATATATATATACATATATATATATATTATATATATATATATATATATATATATATATATATATATATATATATATATATATATTATATATATATATATATATATATATATATATATATATATATATATATATATACATATATACATATATACATATATATATTATTTATATTATATATATAGACACACACACACACACACACACACACACACACACACCACACACACACACACACACACACACACACACACACACACACACACACACACACACACACACACACACACACACAACACACACACACACACACACACACACACACACACACACACACACACACACACACACACACACACACACACACACACATACTACATATATATATATATAATATATATATATATATATATATATATATATTATATATATATATATATATAAATATACGTACATATACGCACATATGCATATACACATATATATATACATGTTTGTATATATCCATAATTTAAACCAGAACATACAACATAAATAAGAAAAAATAGGTCATATCACCACAAGGAAAGACTACACAGAGACCGAAGAGCAAACAAAAGGCTCCCGAGACAGACTAAAAGGAGGAGGAGGAGAAGATGGAGAAGGATGAAGAAGATCAGGAAGATGATGATGATTAGGAAAGGAGGAAGAAGGGAATGACGAAGAAAAGGAGGGAAAAAAGTAGGATTAAGAGGAGGAACAGGAGTAGGAAGATAAGGATGAGGAAGAAAGGAGTAAGAGGAGGAGTAAGAGGAGGAGGAGAAGAAGGAGGAGGAAGCTGAAAAAGAAGGAGGAGGAGGAAGCTGAAAAAGAAGGAGGAGGGTGGTGGTCCAGGATTCGGGACGCAGCCCACAGGATATTTTGATTGAGGGAGAAATAAGTGAGATCGGAGGGCGAGCGAGGCCGGGGTGGGGGTGGGGGTGCGGTCCCTCCAGGGGGAGCGGGGCTGATCGCTGGGTCATCAGTCGTCGGTTGATTCAGTAAAGAGAATAAATAAAGCTGCGTTTGAGGATCTGGCCCGCCCGCCCGGTGGCCCACACGCCCACGTCCTCCGCCCTCGAGACGTCGCTGGCCAACCGACCGTAGACACACTACTTTTGATTTTCTGTCACTCCCCATCGGGGAAAATTATTATTAATATGAGGCGTCAACTCTTACACATCTAGGAAACATATTTACGTAGTCTTTGGCATATCATCTACAAGGCATTAGAGAACATCGTTTCATCACAATAAAAATCATCTGTGACTTGACAGCTTTTCCTCAGCTCGGCAAAGGAGGCCGCAGGCGGCTTCTCCCTGACGCCGTCCGCTGGCGTCGACGTCGTCCTGCCGGTCGGGCGCCGCGGCCGCTCCCGACTGCTGACCCGCTCCACTGCCTTCCTTCAGCACCACTTCTCCTGTGGCCCCGGGGGAGCTCCCTCCGGCCCGCCCGTCGAGGCCGCCGGCAGGACGGAGGTCGGGCTGCGGCTCCCTCGCGCCGGCGCTGTCTCGCCACGCCATTCGCCTTCCCATCACCGGGAGCTGGAACGTTACCGGGTTGGCTCGTCGCCCTCGCGGGGCGGCATCACAAAAATCAAATATTGCACATTTATATATAAATATCTAAACAATGGAGTTGGTTACGTCTGACTATACAAAATATTAATATCCAATTTGAATCACTGAAGACAGTCGGGGCTGTTGTACAATGATGCATGACAGGTTTTGATCAAATGCTGAATTGTTTCTCTATTTTACTTATTCAGTGGATGTTGCTTTCCAAAAATGTTGTTTTCTTTTTTACCAAGACTACTGACGCCACGGTGCTCACAGCTGCCACGTGCAATCAACTCACAGTTTACAATTATATAATTGGTGACATATCATGCCGTTGCCACTACGAAGAAAGTATATTCTTATATAAATTTTACGAGTTGCACAACAAGTAGTGAGCACCGTAGCCAGATAAAGGAGGTTGGGCGCGCTGGGTTTTACAAGGTCACCTAATTGGCAGGAAGGACAACGTCTCGTCCTCAGGGCTAGAACGCTGTCCAAAAAAGAATAATAATAAAAAAAGAATATATGCTCCCTGACCTCGGCTTCACTTTTCAAACATTCATTTCACTAAAAAAACGACTACCGGAGCAAGAAGTCATCCCTCCTGCCACACGGCGTCGCAACCTTCCTTGGTCGCATGTTCTAATGTTCTCACATGTTCTCATTCTTGTGTACTTCCACATGCTTGAGTCCAGCACACAATACAACCTTTGAAACATGCTGTACAGAACACAGCGGCGGCCCAACCTGTTATATGATCACAGTTTATAGTAATACTCATTCTGTTCTAGATGTAGATGAAATGGGTGATCCCCTACGGGTTTACTGCCGGTTTATAAACTATATGACTGTATGGAACGCCTCTGACAACTAACGTTTAAGTGAGTTCGAAAAAAGATCAAGATCACTATCACCGAAATTTTGTCATAGCTGTAAGCGGCGTTTGTTTTTTTGTATTTTTTAAAAACACATTTGCTCGTACAAACGAAATGTACTCATCAACCAAACATATCGAAGCGATTCCAAACTCCGATCCACACAGAATAAATGTCAGTTGGTGTCTTTAGATACAACAAATAAATAAAAATTGGATAATATCACTCAGAACATCGTAGAAGGACAAGGAGCGCGCAGGACATTTCTAGTGAAAAAAAACTCGCAGGAGGGGGGGGGGACGCATACCACAGAAAGAATCACAAAAAAGGGAAAACTACTGAACTGTCTCAACTGATGGTACCCGTCCACTTGATTATGAAGAGATAGCGTTGTAAATGATAATCATTAAGGAACAACTGGATACGAGAAATGACCGAGGGATTTCTCTCTATTTTTCTCAGAAATGGGAAATCCCAGCCTGAGCTGCATAAGGTTTCTTTCGTTTTTTTCTTGTTTTTCAGGAAAAAAGGGGGAGGGGGAATGGGAATATCGGGCAGTTTCTGGGTAATAATTTTAAGATATGCCGGTGAAGGATTTTGGCACTGCTTCCTGATTTGATATGTGTTTGGCACTGAGGGAAGCTCTATTGACACTGACTTCGGAGGTGACGGAGCAAGATCTGCGGGTCTAGCCAAGCAGAGGAAGACGATTCGTTGTCACTCTGGAATGAACACTTTTCTTTAAGACTTTTCGTGTCTTTTTCGTTGCCAAAATATCATGAAAACTGCGCCTCTCTCTTGACTGTG